AATGAGTGTGTATATGTCCATGAATGACTGAAAAATTGTGCTGAACACTGGAATTTGACACAACATTGTAAAATGATTATAAATCAATAACAAATGTTAAAAAAAAGAAACAAAATAATATTCTTTATTTAGAAATAAAAATTAAGATGAGAACACACTCATAACCTTGGTAGAAGAGGGGAGCAAAGGGAACCAGAGACTTAAGTTAGCTTAGGTTTTGTGTTATAAGCCTCAACAATATTCCTTCATTATTGTCAGCATTTAAGAAGCCTGCTTCTATCATACTCAAAATGCCTTTTAAAAATATTTCCTTTGGTTTGCCCCCATAGAACCAGAAAAATTTAACATTTATTTAGCTGCAAATTGATTTGGTAATCATGTAAACATTTTGGTATGGAAAATTAATATTATCCTAAAATAGAGATACTGATAACTTCCAATGGGGACAGGGAATTTCTAAAATGAAAAAAAATTCTTAAAGAAGGAGTTTTAGAATAATACATACCTGGTATTCTTGATTTTCCTCCCGGTTCTCAATTGCTTTAAATAGCTCTTCACACACATTTGGAATAATACCCTTGTTTGCTCCAAACCCAATCATGGAATAGCTTTTTCCAGAGCCAGTTTGGCCGTAGGCCAGGAGAGTTGTATTATAACCTTGCCAAGCACTGTCTAGAATCCCCCTGCCAAGGTCATGGAAAACATCTCTCTGGAAAGAAGATCACAGGCATCATGTTCAGCACAGGCTTTTCACAGTACTCTTAAAATCAAATATTCTGGTTTTAATGAATTCAACCTTAATTAGTATCATACAACTTAACTGGAAGTATAACTCAGATGCTTTCTTAGAACCAATGGAATAAAGCTAGAAACCAAAAAGGGATTTATCAATTTGGAAAACACTGGATTACCAGGGATCACCATGGATCTTCAACCAGCTAGTATCCATCAGTATTGGATTTGTGTATTTTATACCCTTGACAAAACATGGGCTAGATCTGTAAATTTCAGCAATTAGACAAAAATTTCAATGCACCAAGGGACAGAGACAGGTCAAAGTGTTTTCTACTTTCTCTGTATTCTTTCATTCAAATAATAACATCACAAAATGACTAGATCAATTTTAGCCCGCTGCTGCTGAATTCTTTTTTCACAAGACCTGGTGGTTCTGAGGCCAACACACACATATACACATATACCTTTTTTTTTCTTAAGTGGGAGACAGTGCTTGTGCCCACAATTGCTTAGAAGAGAGAGTGTGGTCTGGCTCTTTTATTATCTATTGTATTATCTATAATATTATAGCTATTATTACATATTATTGCCAGTCAGCATGAATTCTCTTATTTGAGGCTGTTTCAAAGTGTACATTCTCCTCTATTCTCTAATATCAATAAAATAGTAAGCATTACATGTTCCATTTTTTGCTATATATATATATTTGTATTATTTATATAATTTTTATTTCTGGAAAAGATGCACATACCAACATGGAGTGACTTATATATGGACCACAGACAATAGCCAATTTTCTTACACTATTCAATTCTCATGAGAAAGGAAGAAAAATTATTACAGTACAAGTGTTAGTGGAGCTCCAGACTTAAACCATAGAATCTAGTCAGTGGTTTTCCAGAACCTTGTGACCATACTTTTACCAGAAAATTATATTTATATAATGGATATCCAGTCTACCCTAGGGGCTATTAGCTAAAACTAAGGAGAGCTTACTAAGCTTAGTAATTAGTTTTGCTGTCTTTTTCTCTCTGTGCTACTTGGAGATTTGGGAAAATGTTTTTATTGTCAACTTTTATGAACTGAAAACTTTAAAACAGAATTTTATTAAATAAATAAAATCTTAGAGAATTGAATCATTCTATAAATTTTGTTAGCTGTAGAGTTTTCTGTACAGTGTTCCATTGAAATCTCTTTTGGGTGTCAGTGATTCATATATTAGGTAAGCCAATAAAACTACATTTCTAATTTCTTCCTATTTACCCTCCTATAATTAATTACATGAAACATTTTTCTGCACTACAGTATGTGAAACAATATTCTGCAATATTTTAATAGGTGGTCAAGAAAAAATAGGTGTTCATCTTCACTGTGAATGAGAGGAAACGCTGATGACAGTTAGTCAAGTCTCTTTACAGCATAATTCTTGCAGTCTTTTAAAGCTATCTTTAAAAAAATTGAGATATAATGGACATATAACATTATATTAGTTTCAAGTGTACAACATTCTTTCTTTTGCACATAGTTGTCCGGATACATATTCTTGTCACAGAACCTGTAACATCTGAATGTACTTTTTTTGCCTGTCTCTTAACACCAAATTGTGAGCAACTTTACAGCAGAATAGTGCATAGTACGTGATAAATAGTCAATAAATCAAAAGTTCTCAAATGCTGAGTGCCTCACAAGTTTTGCTTATTTTGCTTATCTCAGGAAAATTAATAGACTTGACTGACATTCGTTTTTCAAAATATGTCAACACATTGGGAAATAACTGATTTGAGTGTCTAAAATTTTAACTAAGCAATAGTCGCACTTTTTGGACCTCATGTTTAGCATGAAAAGGAATAAATTTAAAACCAAATTCTCATATGGAAGCATAAATTGTACCATTCTTGCATTAAAAATTATTATACTGTTATACTGCTAACACTTAAATTTAAAAAAGAAACAACTTCCATCGAAGTTGTTTTAAAGCAGTTTACCTGGCCTGCAAATTTACTGCTTGGGTCAGCTGAAATAAACACACCATCTTTATCCTTCTGAAATCCATTGTGAGACCAATATGCCAGGTCAAAAGTAAACATCTTCATATGTTCTGGATTCTTAGGGTCTTGTATAATGGTGGTAGTCCTGGAATGCATGGAAATCACACATTTGCTTCCAGAATTCTTCTCTCTCTGTAGTCAAATTACAAATTGAGAGTCAATCAATGCAATTTTTCTTTGTCATCCAATTGTTTTCCAGGTCTTTACATTTAGTAAAAAATTAAGCCAGAAACTTACCGTTCATTCATTTTGTTCTCTAATTATGTTATTCTTAGCAGCTGTTATGACAACAGTTGCTCTTATACTTCCTCAGAATTTTTGAAAGGCTTGTCTCTAGTCATATTACCTTTCTGAGAATAGCATATCTAACACCCAACTGTACTAATAGCAATGACTATAGCGTCAGAGATCCACTTCCAGCATCACAATGAAAGAAGCTCCACGGTCCCACTCCCCCTGTAAAACCGGTGAAAATTATTAATGAAAAAATGACAATGAGAAAACCAACCATTTTAAGCCTCTGGAAATGGTTCTAAGAATAAACAACACCCCCCCCAAAAGAAAAGAATAAGAATAAACAGACAATGAAAGAATAGCAATTCAATAAAATCTATCAAAATTTGGTAAGAAAGAAGAGTCTGTGGTAGCTAAGCAAGACCACTCCCTCCCTCTCCCTTGCCAACTCAGCAAAGTGGAGACTACTCTGGAATGCCAGAGCTAAAACCACGGGCCTCCCTTTCTCCCCAGATTCCAGTAGGAGGGATTTCTTCCTGGGAGGAGAATATTGGCATTTCTTACCCTGCTCCCATCTACCTGTGGCTGAGGCTAAGTCTGAGGAAAGTATGGTTGAGAGACAGGAGTTCCTTCTTCTACCCATTTTCCACTCATGGAATGGAGGCTCCTCTTTGGTTGCAGCATGCTGAGAATACTGGGGTTGCTTACCCTGGCTCCTGAGGTGGTGGTTCTATGTCAGGAGAGACAAGCTGAGAGGATCTCAGACTACTCTTCCGCATTCACCAAGTGGTAGCCTTTTAGAGCAGGGTGTCACATAGGGTAGCTTGCTGTTGTCCCCACCCCCAAATCCAGAGCCCTAGTTTAGAGATCCTGCTTGGGCAGATAGCACCTAATCTCTTCCCAAAAGAACTGATTTCATTTGCTCCTGTAGAGAAGTTTAATCCTAGGGTGGTTGCAGTGAAAGGCAATTGGCAGATTGAAGATACATGTTAAATTATAGGCTAAATTTGGAGGGGAGGAACTGGGGAATAAGATACCTGGGAGGAACCTACCTGGACTCAGAAAATATATCAAACACCGATCTCAGAAACTATTCCTTTCAAACGGACCAGAATTTGACTGAATTAGTTTGTAGAGCAATTTGTACCTCAGGGCATTGTTGAAAACAACATAGCAAACAATCAGCAGTCAGTGGGGTTTGCAGCTTGATGTGGTCAAGAAAGACAGGAGGCCCGACCAAAACTGTTATCAACCCCGGATGACTAGGGCATACCCAAAGCTGTATCTTTTTGAGGAGCAACAACAAAAGTAGGGGTGTTGTTTGATGTTTGATATTTTCGCCATTAAGCACTTTTTTGCTGCAAACATCTTTGCTGCAGGCATTTTCACCGCAAACATTTCACTGCATAAACTAACTGGTCATAAGACAATTTTGTCTTGAAAGATAAAATAACTGTTTGATAGTTTGGTTCCAACTGGTTGAAATGCATTAGCATTTCTTCCAGTTATCCACGTTACGATGGCTTTAACAAGCTGACAGATGACGATGATTTATTTGCCTTAAGAGTTTGTTTCTTATTTTGAAACACACTTTAGAGAAGAAAGAGGCAAAGACCTTGAAAGCACAGAGTTGTACCCACATTTCCCATAGAACTTTGGAACGTCCATCAAAGGACAGGTGACAATATGCCAAGAACAAACAACAGTGTAGAGGCTTTCACAACACAATACAAAGCTCCATTACAAATACACATCCTACTGTTTGGAAACTGATACCTCTCTTAATGAAGGAAGAAATTTTAGTGAAAAAGAAAAAGTGCAATACCAATGAGGAGACGAATCAATAAGCTAAAAAAATGCATTATACTATAAATGACTTTGTAGATAAGTGCTTAGGTACAACCCACAAAATAAAACCAGTTATTTGTGCAATATTGCTATGAACACATACACATTTTAAACATATTAAAATATTTTGTATTTTGAAATAAAGTTGTTTAATTCCCTTTTACTTTTCATTATTTTATTTTTCATGGTAAAACTGCCCCATGGCCAATTAGTCACATGGTGAAAATATTTGTGGCAAAGATTATGGCAAAAGTAATTAGAACTTGGTGGGAGAAAGATTTCACTAATATAATCCAGCCAATCACTATACATATAAACAAGCAAATAAGAATAACAAGCTACAGAGGGGTGGGAGGACCAGTACCCAGACTTGCTACAATATATCATCTAAAATGTCCAGTTTCCAATAAAAAAAAACTATGAGGCATGCGAAGAAATAGGAAAGTAAGACTCACACCCTGTAAGGAAAGCAGGCAACAGAAACTGAGTGACCAGATGCTGGAGTTATCAGAAAAATACTTTAGAGTAATCATTACAAACATTCACAGAACCAAAGGAAACCAGATTAAAGTAAAAATTATAAATGAATACTATAAACAATTGATTACATTAGCTAAATTTAGGTGAAATTGACAAATTCTCAGATAAAAAGTATTAAAAGACTCAAGAAATAAAACAACCTGAATAAACCTACAAGTGAAGATAGTAAAAGAAAACAAACAAAAAACTCTCAAAGAAATGACTTGACTACTTTATTCTATCAAACATTTACAGTTAATACCAATTCTTCATAAACTCTTCCAAAACGGAGGAGAGAACACTCCCTAACTTATTTTTATGATACCTAATCCAAAGACATCACACACACACACACACAAAAACTACAGACCAATATCTGTTATGAATATAGATACAAGAATCTTCAATAAATTATTAACAACATGAATCCAGGAACATACAAAAAGAATTATACACCATAACCAAATGAGATTTATCCTAGGGATGCAAGGCTGGTTTAATATCTGGAAATGATTCTATTGATCATATTTTTTATTTTCTATTATTTTATGATGCTTTGACAACCTGGGACCTAGAAAGATTGTCCCTCCCAGGACTAATGAATTCCTAGAGATAGCAAACAACTTATCTTTCACGCAAATCAACCAATCCAAAGTCCATATCCCAAATACCTCCTTTACTTTAGCCACATACCAAGCCAATATTTTCCCTGCCCAATTATCACCCAAGGGTCAGGTACCTGACAACTAGAGAGCACCTGACCAACGAAAGCCCAGAACCTATGTAAACGACTCAAACTATCCAATCCTAAGACTGCTCAAACTTGCCTACATGCCTTGCCCATTCTTTCCTGTGGAAACCACAGTAAGGCTACAGGCCATGTACTCTTTGCTCCTGCCTTCTGACCAACTTTGATACTTACCCATGCGGCTGTATGGAATGCTCCTTTCTCTTGGAAATTATAAGGCAAGTTGTTGCTGTATCTGTTACCTTACTATACCTGATTAAAACAAATCTTGGGTATGCTTTAAAATAATGATTAATGTAATACATAATATCAATAGAATAAAACACAAAAATCACATATTATCTCAAGAAGCAGAAAATGCATTTGACAAAAATTCAACACCATTTTGTGATAAAAAAAATTCAACAAATTAGAACTAGAATGGAACTTCCTCAATCTCAAAAAGGGCATTGGCAAAAACTCATAATATACTTAATAGTCAAGGCTGAATATTACCCTCTAAGATCAGGAAGAAGACAAGGATTTCTTGACATTTATACTCAATATTGTATTGGAGGTTCTAGACAAGGCAATTAGGCAGGAAAAAGAGATAAAAGGCATCCAGATATGAAAGGAAGAAGTAAAATGATCTCTTATTTATGTATGACATTATCTTAGAAAATCCTACAGAATCCACTAAAAAACTAGTAGAACTAATAAACGAGTTAAGGTTGCAGGATGCAAAGTCAATATACAAGAATTAATTGTATTTCTATACACTTTAAATGAACAATCTGAAAATGAAATTAAGAAAATTTCATTTCTCATACTACCAAAAATAAAATATTTAAGAATAAAGTTAACAACAAAAAACATAATCTGAATACTACAAAACATTATTGCAAGAAACTAAAGATCTGAAAATTAGAAAAACATCCCATTTCATAGATCAAGACTTTCATAGATCAAAAGATAATACTCTCCAAATTGATGTACATTCAATGCAATCTCTATCAGAATCCTATAATCAAGCAGGACCCTATTGTCATTGGTGACAATATGGTATTTTTATCTGCTTGATTGTATAATAGTTTAAATGGCTTTCCTGATCATGCTTTTGCCAACCAGGATTAGGCTGGAGAGAAGAGAGGCTTGGATGGTCTGTGTAACCTCCTCATGGTGCTGCACATGGGGATCATGCTCAGTGCCCTGCTTTTGCTCCTGATACCTCAGAAATGGCAGTTGGGTTTCTGCTTTTTGTATCTTGTTGTTTATAACTCACCTCAACAGAACATGCAGTCACTTGTGGTTTCTTTGTATTCTGTTGTTCAAGGTGCAGGTCCCTGGCCTCAGCCTAAATGCTGTAAGTATATATCAATCTGACTTTAAACTGCATTTTGTTCTCTAGAGCACTTTTTCACAGACCCCCTTTCCTAAACACCCTTTGTTCTAAGCACAAGAATATTTAGAGATTCCCAAAGCCAGAGGAAAACATCATACCCAGAAGGGGTCCCAGATCCGTTGCATCTGCAAAAACAATTTTGCAACAATTTGTTACCCTGTATGTGACCTCATACCTAGTACCACCCCTTGACTCTTTTTTTTAACCCTTACTATAAAACCCCATACTTTCTCTCCCCAACAGGCTTACAGAGGCATTAGCCCACTGTAACCTCCTTTGCTTGGCAAAGAAATAAAGCTGCCTTTTCTACTTCATCCTAAAACTCAGTCCTTGGTAATTGGGGTACAGAGGCCAAGTTTCAGCAACAATTCCATCTGCCTTCTTTGTAGAAATTGACATACTGATTGTAAAATTCACATGGAACTGCCAAGCAATCAGAATAGCGAAAACAATCTTTACAAAGAAGAAAGTAGGATTCACACTTACCACAACTTAGTACAACCAACAGTGATCAAGAATGTAGTAGTGCCACAATGACAGACGTACAAGATTAATGTAATGAATTGAGAGTCTAGAAATAAACCCAAACATCTATGATCAACTGATTTTCAAAAGGCTGACAAAAAGGAAAAAGAATGGCCTTTACAAGGAAAGGAGCTGGGAAAACTTGACGGCCACATCCAAAAGAATGAACTAGGATCCTCACCTTATATAACATTCACAAAAAGTAACTCAAAATGGACCAAAGACCTAAATGTAAGAGCAAAAACTGAAAAAGAAAACACTGGAGTAGATCTTCATGACACTGGATTAGGCAAAGTATCCTTAGATATGACACCAAAGCACAATTTTTTAAAAAAAGGACATCAAAATTAAAAACTTTTGTGCTTCAAAGAATGAAGACAACCCACAGAATGGGAGAAAAATTGCAAGTCATCTATCTAATCAGAAATTGTATCTAGAATATATAAGGAATAGCTCAATATAAAGAGGTAAGTAATCCAATTTAAAAATGAACAAGGATCTGAACAGACATTTCCCCAAGTAAGACATACTAGTGGGCAATATCAGAACATGAAAAGATACGTGACATCATTAATCGTAAGAAAAATGCAAATCAAAACCATGAGATACCACTTCACGCCAACTGGAATGGCTGTAATGAAGTCAGATAACAAGTGTTGGCCTGGATTAGAGAAACTAGAACTCTCATACACTGCAAGTAGGAATATAAAGTGGTGCAGCTGCTTTAGAAAAGTCTGGTAGGTCCTCAAATAGTAACATAATTTACTATGACTCACAATTCAATGTCTAGATATATGACCAAAACAAATAAAAATGTGTCTACACAAAAACTTGTAAACAAATGTTTACAGCAGCATGATTCATAATAGCTAACAGGTGGAAACAACCCAAACATCCACTGAGGAAATGAACAAAATGTGGTATGTCCATACAATGGAATATTTTCCAGCATAAAGAAATGAATTTTTGATATATGCTACAACATAAATAAATCCTGAAAACATCATGCTAAGTGAAAGCCAGTCACAAAAGACTACGTAATTCCATTCATGTGTTGTACAGAACAGGGAAACATGCAGAGAGATTAGTTTAATTGTTGAGGACTGGGAGAATGATGATAGCTAAAGGGTACAGGTTCTTTTTTGAGGTGTAAAAATGTTCTAAAATTGACCACTGTAATGGTTGCATATACTTATGAATATACTAAAAATTATTGAGTTATACACTTTAAATGAGTTAAATGTATAGTATGTGAATTACAATCTCAAGAAAAACATTTAAAAACATTACCGTGAAAATAACTACAGCAGCTAATATTAAAAAGTACTTGTCAGGCACAGTGCTCACTGATTTACACATTATTTTACTTAGTTTAACAGCAACCCTGTGAGGTACCAGTATCTCCATTTTACACATTAAGGAAACTAAGGCTCGGAGTTTAAAATCTTGCTCAAAGCAACACAGTAGACAAGTGATATAGTAAGGTTTTGAACCCAAGTTCATCTGTTCAAAAGCTCCTGACAGCCTTTGTCTTACAAGGGAAGTCTCATAAAGCTGTTTCTCTGATCTCACAATGAAGACAGATTGGGTATGAAATTAGAAAATTAGGCAGGGTCTAAGTCACTAAGGGGATATAACAGTTATCCAGCTGTGATCTGTAACTATTTACCCTCAAATTAAAACTCAAAAAACAAACAAAACAAAAACAAAACTTTGCAATTATTTTAGTGATACTAAAGGCTGGTGAAAAACACCTCTGGGATAACTTTCAATGTGTTGATGTGTTAGGTTATAAAATGATTTTTTTTTTGTCAAAACATTTAATTTACTGATCACATAATTATTTCTTTTGACACTTTTTGAGTCGGTTTCCTGAGAAACCATGCAACTTTAGAAGTCTTAAATAGGTGATACACTTAAAAGTTGTCTAGTTATAAATTTATCTAATTACATGTTGGCCTGATTGCTAAAATATTTTCTGCAATATAGATGTTAAGGGACAGAACTGATACCAACTGAAAGTGTGCAAAACAGTATTTTATATTAACAGTCAAAAGAGAAAAAGCAAACTGTACAAGTGGCAATGAAGACCTGGTATGAGGTCATCATTACATTGTATCCCATTCAGGAACTGTTATTGTCAAGTAAGCCTTTGCATGTTGTTCTAGCATACTCTTATCCAAATCTTACCTATCCTTTATGTCCATCCCAAATGCTTCTAGCTCCAGAGGTCTTCAAGTTCTCCATAGGCAGAATGAACTACACCTGATCTTTCTCTGGGTACCACAATGACTTACCTTACTATGGTACATACTGCTATACATTATTAACATACACAAGACCACAAGCTGTTGGAAAACAAGGACTTTCCTTTGTATCCTCAAGAGCGTTAAATCCATGGCAGAATATCAAAAGTCTGCTGAATGGATCAATTGTTTAGAATTATCTTAAAATTCAACTTCTCCATCGATAATCAAAGATAGACAAATGGTAAATGTTCTAGAATGAGTATAATCCATGTATTATCTAAGATGTTGTAACAACAGTTTAATGACTGGTGTTTTTGTAAAAAGTTATATAAATATATTTATACATAAAAGCATTTACAATACATAGAGTTCATTCAGAATTAATTTGCTTGCTTACAATCTATTGCTTTTGAAGGGAAAAGTACATTTTAAAAATACATAGCACATATCTATACTCACCAAACTGCATTGGTTCAAAAATTGACTTGACAATAAACTTTTCTTGTCAATTTTTTTTATTGTGCTACTTGCGCAAAGAAACTGTTAACTGAATTATGTTTAGATCTTTAAATTACTCATTTAACAAGTTCATTTAAATAAGTTTAATATTCAATAAATGACAAGCAGCTTAAATACAAGTTTGATAACTATCATTAAAAAATTAATAAAATTAAAGTCGTAGTCAAATTTTCAACAAGGCAATGTAACATTTATCACTAACCTGACTAAAAGGCCGCACTCGTACTGCTACTTTCACTCTGTCAATACTTGGCATAGGCATTTTCATCATTTTCCCATTATTTGTATTGTTACTTGGTGGAAAAATAATGTAGAAAGTACACTGCTTATGCTTCACACTATAACATTAAAAGCTTAGCCAACAAAAGCAGTTTGTTTCTAGACAATCAATTATTAATGGTCCATTCACTACATACTATCAATTACCTGTTATAAATTATTTTACAACACTTATTTATTGATGAATTTTATAGCCTACATCAAGTATCACCACTTAATTGCACACAGTCACACTGCAGAGAACAGAGTGTTTTTTTCTTTTCCTTTTTCCACATCTACTCACTCTTTCCCCATACTCTGTGCCTGAGGTCCTATGAGAACTTGTCAGTTTTAAAACCTGAATATTAAGGGATTTCTGTGATTCAGTAGCAAGCCCCTTCACAGCAGTATTATAAAATTTGTTCAGACTTCTCATCCTATTAAGCACATAAAAGTTGCACTGAATAGCCACAAAACAGATTTGTTTTTCATTCTCTTTCCCTCTCAAAACCTTTTAAGAAGTTGCTAGTGAGCAGTGAACCGGTCAGTCTAACCTGGATAATTAGTCTCTGAATAATTAAGAGACTTAAAAAATAGCCTCTAAGCTTGCTGAACAAGAAATGTCAATATTATATTTAACCAAAGCATTGCTTAGAAAATTACTAATTTGAGGTAGAATATACAAAATTTGTTAAACTATAAAAACAAAAGTGGCAAAATTACAAGCCCATAATCCAATTTCAACAGTTAATAGCAACCTCCCCCAATTTATGATTAGGTATCTTAATCACAGAAGCAAAGTGCATAAATTATAAGATAGCAACTTAAAAACAATTCAATCCTCATTTTAAAATTGGTCTAATACCTTTATAGAGAAAGAAAATTGAACCAGTATCTACTAGCATATAAAATCATTAAAACAGAAATCCCCTCTTAAAAATCTAACAGACACAAACTACTGTGAAGTATATACTTTATTTAACATTCCAATAAGCCATATTTACATATAATATAAATGTATGAAGTCTTAATATAAAATAGAAAAACTGCCTGGACTAAAAGAATTACACTCCATATGGAGTTACTTTACTTATTGAAGACCTTATGTTTACAAAAATTTACAATAATTTATATAAATTATTTTCTTCCAAATTAGATGATTTTTAATAATCCACAGAATTCTGATGACTTTACAAATAGGTGTACATTAAAAACTTGAAAAAAATTACAGCATTTTTCTGCGTAAAACTTGCTTTGGAAAGGAAGACAATTTCTTCCTGCTCCTTCCAAGAGTTTTTCCTGTCACTTCTGCAGTTTTTCTTGGCTTGCTCTTTACTCCATCAATTGGACTTGCCAAAGGTGAAATCAGCTTAATTTCTACTGGAGGAGGTGACCAACTTTCTTTTTCTGTGTTTCTGAAATAAAGATGTAATTCAGGTAAGAATAAACACATTGTAATATAAAATGTAGCTGGCTTCCCAGCATATTTGAGGAGAGTTTAGGGATTACCCTTTCATACTGCTTTCATTTTATAAAGGAGAAGTCAAGTTAAAACTTAAGTCGTATGAGCTAATTAGAAGCAGAGTGAAGGTTTCACATGATAGAATTTTCCCTTTATGACTGGAATACTCAAGAACAATTATGCTGAATTTTCACTTAAATGTTTCATATGTATTAATAAATACTGACAGGCTACAAGGATTGGCCAAGTACCAGCAGTCAGTCCATGGAATGAGAGCCCAGCAGGCCAATAATAAAGTGTATGAGAAATGACAATTGTCAAAAATATGAATATATTTTTACAATACAACTTATTTTCCACATATCCACAAAGCCAATTTGTATGTAAAGTGTTATGAATTATAGTAAAAAAAAAAAAAAACTCTCACTAAACCAGTTTTCAAAGTAAGAGAAAATTGATTACGTTGTTATTTTATGAAATTCAACCATGCCTAAAGCACAAATATATCTGAAGTGGAGTAATTTCCCCATGGATGAAGTTTTCATTGCTACAGTGAAATAATCACAGGATTTTTAAGTTTTTAACTATTTTACTGATAGTTATCTATCTTTACTAAGGAAAAGGTAAAACATTCCACTCCCCTTCCCCAACCCATTGCAAAAACAAATATTCACTGGGTACTCAACTCGCCCACCCTACTATCCTTCTTTAAAAAGGATGAATAGGCTTTCGTGCTGTAAGAGAGAGCCACCTTCTGCAGTGAAATCTAACAATTACATGGAGCCAGTGCATAAAAATTCCCCTAAGAATTATCCTTTTCTGATGAGTTTAATTTCACTTTTTAAAATTAAGATTCTTCTCAAATCTAATTTTAAGAAACATACACACAAAAAAATATGATGTAGAAAAAGTCATACTTGCTTGCTTGTTTTGTTTTTGTAGCCCTGATTCTTTTCACTTGGGGCTCTCCCACAGTTTCTATTGATTGAGCATCATCTTCCTATGGGTTAAAATGTTTAAAAGATCAACCTTAAGTAATTAAACATTTGAAATCTAAACTGAAACAGTTCTATCCCGAGTCAAGGAATATAGCCAAATAGTGCTAAATGAATCCAAACTCAACAAATCTCAAATGGAATCCTCATATTTCTTGGTAGAAATACTGGTCATCTAGGACAGCCCATTATCCCCCATCTGCACATATTCAATTGCTCTCCTTGTCAGTTTTGCTCTGGAATGTTTCCATTGTCCACTGCCCTTTTGTCCTGTTGCCTCTGTCCAAATTCAGGTTCTTGCTGCTGCATAAGAATTAGTCCACCAGTGACTATTTTTTCCTCCCTAGAATTTTTCATCAAAACTTTACTTAGAACATGTCCATGGCTATTTGCTAGTCTGTAAACAGCCCCACTGCCCTTTCTCATGCACTGCCACGCTTCTGTGCCTCTGTATCTGCTGTCTTCTCTTCCAGGAATGCTTGTCTCCTTTACCTTCTGTCTATAAGGTTATCTGGGTATAAATGATTCTTATTATGCTGTGAAATAATTGTGTGTTCTGCCTCTTCAATTAAACTGAACTCCTGAAAGACAAGGAATCTGCCTAAATTATTTTTGTGTAAGTCTTTGCCCTTGCATAATAACTGGGTCATAGCAGATAACTCAAGAAATGCTCATGAATTAAGATTAATAAACATAAGGGTCTCATGCTCACACTTAATTCCTGAACTAGTTTTATTTCAGAGTTATGTGCAACTAGGTAATACAGTCAACTCTGAAACAATGTCTCTCCAAGTGTGGTCTGTGATGACACTCCAGGGGGTCAGGGACCTACATTTGAAATACATCCAGAAAATTCTGGTGGGAAACTACAATTTAAAAATCTTTCTTCTAATGGGTAATTTAAATGGCAGCTGCCAGTAATTCACCATAAGTAATATACTGATTTGTCTGAAAGGCAGGGTCCGCAAAAGTACAGACAATTTTGGACTTTTAGTATAAATGTCTGCTCTTTTTAAAGAAGTTTATTTAGGAGGCATTGCTTAAAAAAAACAAAAAAGCACATTCAAATACGCATACAAATAAAATCATGTATTTCTTACCAGTTTATCCACAAGTTTGGATGTATTAGATGTGATTTTCCGCCTGGTCCTTAAAGTAGGAGGTGAGAGGACAAATTGAGAGGATAAATCTGAAACTAATTCTTTCAACTGTGCAGGAGCCTCTATTTTTTTAGCTAAAGGAAGGCAAAAAGAAAGAAAAAACACTATATATCATACACACACACACACAAATTCAATTTGCAAAAAAATCCAGTTTATCTGTGAAGTGCAATGAAGGGCAATAAAGCAAAGCACAGTAAAAAGAGGTATGGCAAATTGAAGGTTTGTGGCAAGTCTATCAGTGCCATCTTTCCAACAGCATTTGCTCCCCTCACATCTCTGTGTCACATTCTGGTAATCCTCACAACATTTCATACTTTTTATTATCATATTTGTTAGAGTAATCAGTGATCTTTGATGTTACTGTTGCAAAAAGATTAGACTTGCTGAAGGCTCAGACGATGGTCAGTATTTTTTTGGAACAAAGTATTTTTTAAGTAAGATACATATTTTTTTTTAAAGATTATGCTATTGCACACTTAATAAACTACAGTATAGTGTAAATATAACTTTTACATGGACAGGGAAACCAAAAACTTGTGCGACTCGCTTTATCATGATACTCCCTTTTTTGTGATGGTATGGAACTGAACACACAGAATCTCCAAGGTATGCCTACCTACATAACCTGAGCTACTCTGCTTTTTAATTTCGACTTTTCCAGAGGCGAGGTTTTTATTTCAAAAAGCAATTTTATTTTCAAAGAGAGACAAACCTCTTTCCTTCCAGCTCATTCTGAGCTAGTTGTTACAGGCAAGGAGAACAACAGAAAAGTCCGTATCACAAAAAGACAAAAGTAGGCAGAAAAATAATATAGAAAAATAGGCTGATAGGAAGATATTCTATAGAGAAGTATACATGGTTTAATTAAGAATTAGTTGAAAATATGCAATTAAAAACATCTATCACAGACTTGATCTTAAGATTTTTTTTTTCCTGTTTTACTTTAGGGTCTTCATATTAATGGCAATTAGCAATGTAATTATGGAAGTGGCAGGGTCAGTCTCCTGGAAACTAAATCCTGGTTTCTGGATTTATTTGCTGTGGGACCAAAGGCAAGTTACCTAAAACCTCTCTGTACCTCAGTTTCTATAAAATAGGATTAATAACGGCACCTATAAAGTTACTGTGAAGATTAAAGCATTAGTATAATGTGTGGTATATGGTAAGTGCTTTATAGATGTTTGCATGTTATGATGCTATTATTGCAACAATTTACAAATCTTTGAAATAAAATACTCAAATTATAGTTCAATGTTATTTCACCTATTAGGACAAATAAGAGTTCTGTAACATGTCAAATTCTGCTTTTAAAGCATGTGATCCTTAACAAACGAAAAAAGAGGGGTGAGGTCAAAAACAGAAGTCATCTCTGCTCCCAGCTGATAAGTGGCATAAATGGCACTGGTGGT